GCATCAATTTTATGAAGACGAGCATGAGCAATGAAGACATGTTGAGAGCAAGAAGCGAAGAGAAAAAATGGAATTCATTCAAAATAATTCTATCATGCATTAATTACTGTTTTCATTTAAATAAAAATTAATCCTGAAAATTTATCCCCCTGGGGATACCTCTTCTGCAAGGACTTCTGTCTATGAGATGATGAACGGCTTTCTTTCTTTATCCCTTCACAAAAGGAGAAAATATATCCCTTGTGTCCCCTTGAGCCTGAATGATATTTTCTTTTGATTCAACCCTAACCAAGGACCACCCTCCACACTGGGGGGCAATGTGAAGGAAATCTGAGTGAAGAAAATTGATCCAAATGAGATACCGAAAGGTGAACCAGACGCAGAGTGCAAAGATCAAACCAAAGAAAAAAATCAAAGCAAAAATCAAAGAAAAAGCAAAGAACAAAAGAGGACAAAGAACACAGACAAAGAGTCTCCTGACTTAAATGGCGCATTGAGCTTCAAACCGTGAGATTAATCAAAAACAATCACTCTAGAATCACTTGACTCGAAGATCATAAAACATCAAGAGAAGAGCATGCGAGTAGATTCAAATTGAGCAAAACAGGATCGAAGGCATCAGAGTTAATTGATCCTTGGTTCAAATACCCTTAAAACACATGTTTGGGCCTTTTATCCCTTTCTTTCATAACCCTGAACCATGACCTACATTACGTGCCTTACAAGTCCCTTCTAATCATACATGGATTTCTAAGCGGAAGAGACTATCTTCATATTTCATCCCGTCCGTCAGGATTAATCTTTTATTTTCAAAAAAAAAGTTTTCTAAAATCTTTAATGCATGATAGAGAAAAATAACAAAGGGGGGTTAAAGACGTAAAATTCTGAGTAACGTCTTGAAACCAAAGGAGGATTCGAGTTGAAAACCTGAAAGGACGGCTCGAATATGAAGGTTATTACATAGGAGACGATTGCTCAAATCCCTTGATGAGGCATCACACAACATGAATGAGAACATGAGAGTTGGGAGTCAGAGCACACTTCCAATAGCTGAGTACAGAAGCTACTCCATCAGATCAGAGAACATCAAATAAATGAGAACACTATACTGTTGACCAAAAATAACCACTTGAGATTTTTTTATCCTTCCTTACTTAACCATCTCTCAAAGATAGCATTGATCTTGACACTTGTCAAATAGCTATAATTTATTGAAGGATTAAAAGAGTAATTAATTCTTTGATATCCAATGAACTCTTGTTTTATGATTTGTCAATTGTGAAACCTTAAAAGGGGCAATATGTTCATATCTTTTGATTAAACATTTTTCAAAATTATTTTAATTGATATTTTCATACTTTTGAAAATAAAAGAAGAAGAAAAAATTTTCAAACAAGATAATCTCTGGAGGCATATCTTAGAATTCAACAAATATCTCACCGAAGCTCAGAATCGAAGCTGGGGCAAGAGAAAGTTAATTTTTGGACAAAATTTGATGGGACAAACAAATGGTCTCAGGTCAAGGTTTGCAAGAGTACACCATGGTGGAAATACGGACAAGTTGAATCAATGATAGACTGCTCTCGCGATCATTCTCCTTCTAGATCGAGAAAAGTATATACATACATACACACACATACATACATACATACATACATCCATGATACATAAAATTTGCATCAAACATTTATCATCATGTGTATTAAAGACATTTTTCTCCTCACTTGAGGACAAATTCAATAAAAGAAGATCAAATAAATTTCATCTTGACATCTATCATAACTTCCAAGATAGTTAGTCAAAATTGCATCATTCTGATCTTTTCAGGAAATTAGAGCTCGGAAATAACCAGGTGTTTTCAACCTGAAAGAACAATGCAATCCACATATTTGGCTTCCTGAAGTCAACAATCAGATCTTCTGAAGATGTTTCCTCAACATGCAGGAATCAATAGATAAACTTTGAGCTATTGAGATTATTTTCTTTAAAAAAAATAAAGTGTCGTCTCACTTGAGATAGTTTTCTTAAAAACAAATTTTATTTTGTCTCGCTTGAGACAACATTCTCTTTAAAACAAATTACGTCTCGCTTGAGACATTTTCCACAAATTTTGAGAATTTTAAAACAAATTGCGTCTCGCTTGAGACATTTTTCCTTTGAGATACAAATTTTGAATTTGATTCACTTAAAACAAAATTAATCTCACCTTAGATTGTTGTTTCTTTCAAAACAAATTTTGTCTCGCTTGAGACCTTTTCCCTTTGAGATCCAAATTTCGAATTTGTTTCACATTAAACAAAGTTGATCTCACTTGAGATCGTTTTCTCAAAAACAAACTTTGTCTCGCTTGAGACAATTTCTCTAAAAACAAATTTTGTCTCATTTGAGACTATATCTTAAAGCAAATTTCATCTCGCTTGAGACATCATTTTCTCTCATAATACAAATTTCAAGGTTGTTGTACTTAAAGCAAAATTAATATCACTTGAGATTTTCAAAGCTGATTGGTCTCGCACGAGACAGTTTTCCCTTTTAACAAATCCTGAAATTGTTTCATTTGAAACAAATAAACACTTTTGAAAACACCCTTGAGATTATTTCCATATAAACAAAATCGACAATATTTGAATCTTTTAAAACGATTTTTGTCTCTTGAGATAGTTTCTCTTGAAAAAATCTTTGAGTTTGTTCCTTTTGAATAAAAATCTTGGAGTTTGTTCCTTTTGAATAAATATCTTTGAGTTGTTTCTTTTGAAAAAATCTTTGAGTCTATTTATTTTAAAAAAAAGTTTTGTCTCTCTTGAGACAGTTTCTCTTGAAAAAATCTTTGAGTTTGTTCCTTTTGAATAAAAATCTTGGAGTTTGTTCCTTTTGAATAAATATCTTTGAGTTGTTTCTTTTGAAAAATCTTTGAGTCTATTTATTTTGAAACAAAGTTTTGTCTCTCTTGAGACAATTTCGTGAAAAATCTTTGAGTCTGAAACAAAGTTTGGTCTCTCTTGAGACAATTTTGTGAAAAAAATCTTTGAGATTGTTTCTTTTGAAAAAAATCTTTGAGTTTGTTTCTTTGGAAACAAAATTTTTTCTCTCTTAAGATAGTTTCTTTTGAAACAAAAATCTTTGAGTTTGTTTCTTTTGAAACAAAATTTTGTCTCTCTTAAGATAATTTCTTTTGAAACAAAAATCTTTGAATCTGTTTCTCTTAAAATGAATTTTGTATCTCTTGAGACCGTTTCTTTTGAAGTAAATCTTTGAATATGTTCATTTTGAAAATCTTTGAGTTTGTTTCTCTTAACAAAATCATCTTTGAGTCAATTTCTTTAAAAACAAATGTTGTCTCTCTTGAGACGGTTTCTAATGAAAAAACTAACTTTTGAGAGTGTTTCATTTGAAACAAATTTGGTCTCACTTAAGATGAGATCCATCTTTGAGTCTGTTTCATTTGAAACAAAATTTTATCTCTTAAAGACAATTTCTTTTGAAAAAAATCTTTGAGTTTGTTTCCTTTGAAACAAAATTTTGTCTCTCGAGACAACTTCTTTTGAAAATACCCACCTTTGAGATTGTTTCTATTAAAACCAATTTTGTCTCGCATGAGACAGTTTCCTTTCAATGACATCTTTGAGTCGTTTCCCTTCAAACGAATTTTGTCTCTTGAAACATTTTCTCTTAAAATAAGATCATCTTTGAGTTTGTTTCTCTGGAAACAAGGTTTTATCCCTTAAAACAGTTTCTTTTGAAGAAAAATCTGAGTCTGTTTCTTTGGAAACAAAATTTTGTCTCACTAAGATACAATTTTCTGAAAAACAAAGTTTTGTCTCTTATGACAATGTTAAAAAAAAAAAAAATCATTGAATCTCTTTCTTTGGAAACAAAATTTTGTTTCTCTCGAGACAGTTTATTTGAGAAAAATCTTGGAGTTTGTTTCTTTGGAAACAAAATTTACCATCTTTGAATCTGTTTCCCTTGAAACAAAATAAACATCTTTGAGATCGTTTACCTTGAAATGAATTTCGTCTCATTTGAGACAATTTCCCATGAAATACCGATCTTTGAGAACGTTTCCCTTAAAAACAAATTTTGTCTCGCTTGAGACAATTCCCTTTAAATGCCATCTTTGGGTTGTTTCCTTTGAAACGAATCTTGTCTCTTTCGAGACAGTTGCTTTGGAAAAACTTATCTTTGAGTTTATTTCACTTGAAACAAAGCAAATATCTTTGAGATCGTTTCTCTTGAAACGAATTTTGTCTCCCTTGAGACAATTTTTATCAAAATTCAATCTTTGAGTTTGTTTCTATTGAAGCACATCTTTGAGTTGGTTTCTCTTGAAACCATAACTTCTAAAGATGGCCAGCCGTCCTCATCATGTAGGAACCGTGTCATCCCCAGACCAGATCTCCTTATCACGTAGGAGCCGTGTCAACCATAGATAACCAGCCGTACTCATCACGTAGGAACCGTGTTATCACCTTTAGATGGCCAGAACTCTTCATCACGTATGAGCCGTGTCATTCCCCGACCAGATGTCCTCATCATGTAGGAACCTTGTCACTTTTAGACGACCAGAACTCTTCATCATGTATGAGCAGTGTCGTCCCCAACAACCAACATTATCCAATTTCTAAGTTTAAAAGGGAGAGAACCAGACAAAAACGTGATGTCTTGTCGTCTTTGCCCTATTCTGGTTAACACAAGAATGTGCAAAGAGGGGCAGCTGTAGACACCCGTTTTTGTCCGGGTCTTTCCTATCTAATTTAATTTTAATTTTTTTTATTATTATTATTATTATTTATTATTATTATTATATTAATTACATATTACAATATTTTGGCAGGCCAAAGCCCATTACAACCGGCCCAAACAGGACCCAACATTGGTAGGGTTTCACCCTATCTCACTAACCCATCAGATTAGGGTTTCAAACCCTAAAACAGATTAGGGTTTCAAACCCTAAAACAAATTAGGGTTTTAACCCTAATCCCCTAATGACAGCCGCCGACCTAACTCATCAGCAAGCCAGCCAGCCGCCTCTGGCTATTTAGCTTCCCCAGCCTTGCGTGGTCTTCACCGGTCACTCCCGAGCCGAGTGAGCCGCCGCTGGTGAGTTCTCGAGCCACCGCCAATCTCTCCAGTTCATCCGTCATCCACAGTGACCCTCAACAGTGAGATAGCAGAGAAATCAATTAAAAATTGGAAAAATCCAAGCAAATCTATTCAAATCCAAGAGATGACAGCATGAGTATAGGGATATCATTCCCTACGAACTCAACCATCCATCAGTTAGAAGATATCAACACATGCATCAATAAAAAAGAAAAACCGAAGAAAAAAGGGGGGGGATTCGAACCACAACAAAAAAAGAAAAAAGAAAAAGAGGAGTAGGAGAGGATAATACCTTCATCGGAGGAGTGCCGGAAAGCCAAGTGGTCGCCGGAGTTCAAAGCTTTCGAGAGGTATAATCTTGGATCTAGGGTTGCTAGGTGGTTTTTAGAGGAAAATGGTTTAGGTTTCTGGTAAAGGAGGGTGAGGGGATGCTTTTGGGATCACCTGGTCCCTCCGGCCGCCGCGCCAGCAGCCGTGCGTCGCTGCTTGCTACCGCAAGCTCAGCCGGGTCCCTCTCTCCGATGAGAGGATTTAAGAGATTTTTGAATCTCTCTCTCCTCTCTATTGGATAAGAGATGAGAAATGGGGATGAATGGGTAAGCAAGCCCGATCTTGGGCTCATATTATTCAATCAAAACGGCGCCGTTTCAGCAAGGGACCTTCAGCGTGTTTTTATCTTGTGGGGTAACTACACGTTTAGTCCCCCGCGCTTTGTAATATAATTATTAAGCCATATAATGAAGTTATATTATTTGATTTCGAGCCTTTATTTTTCCTTCCTTACATTTTAGTCCTGCTATTACTTGTTATGCTATTCTGGTATATGTGACTTTGGTCCCAATATTTATAATCATTTCAATTTAGTCACGGGTTTTTGTGTGTTGCTTATTTTTTGTGAACGTTCGAATTTGGATATGATATTTATGTATCTTACATTTTAGTCACTGATCATGTGTTGTTTTTTATGTTCGAATTTGACAGCAATATTTGTAAATCTATCATTTTAGTCACTGGTAGCTTGTGTTGTGTATTTTTGTTGACATTTGAATCTGGTCATTTCATTTGTAAATATTTTATTTTAGTCACTGATTTAATGTGTTATCATGTTCTGTTAATATTAGAATCTAGTCATGGTATTTGTAAAGTTATTATTATGGTCACTGTTTTACATTTGGTTTATTTATGATTCGGCCTTCATGTTTGTGTTTATTTCATTTAAGTCCTTTTTTTTGTTATTTTATCTTTGGGAAAGTTCCTGCTAGTATCATAGTATTTTATTTTCTTATATTTCAGTCCTTAATTGAAATGTTGGGTATTTTACTTCGAACTTTAACTTTCATCATTCTTATATTTAGTCATTTTACACTGTTAATTGTTTTTAGTTAAATGTTTGATTTCACTTATTAATTTGTGATGTGTTTATTTTATTCCTTGCCGTTAGTTTTACTTTTTCATACTTTGATTTGCCAGGTTTGATGTTTGTTCATTTAGGCCTTAATATTAAATTATAATGTGTATGCTTGCTTGGTGTAAATATATTTATATTAGCGCATAGATCATGTTTACATCGATTAAATTATTTATTTATTTATTTATGTTTTCCATATGTATATAAATTGTATGTGCAAGGTGATTTATTTACTTTATTTTTCCTATTAAATTTCTAATTTGCAAATTGAATGATATTCGAGATTTATTTATTTTTTATGTATATAAGTGTTGTTAAGTGTATTTATGTGTATTTCGTGTGGAGCCCACCTTTGTGCCTTATATATACATATATTTGCTTTTCTTCCATGATTTATATTCATATTAATTTATTTTGTGTCAGCACTTTATGTATCTCTCGTATTTGGTTAAACATTTCATAACTAATTCGAATAATTTTGAGAACACAAATTTGTAGAACGTGCATGGAAAGTATCGCTTGATCGAAGTGGTACAATCCGATATGACATTCGAACAAATGTGAACTTGAAATTAATTTGATTTTTTTGTTAATCCATTTCATTTAAATCGAACATTGCAATGAATGTCTCTAAATAATAATTTATTTCATTTCATGTAAGTTATTAATTTTCATTCTACGATGTATATCGATCCTTTTTTATCAATTTATTTCATTGAATGCGAGTGCAAATAGTCGATTTCATTTTTAGTCGATTCATATATTTATTAACGAGGGAATATTCTTTTATTGATAAGAAATAGTCGAGTTAGCTTTCTCGATGGAGGATTGCTAATTTCGAGATTTCTTTTCGAATTAAAGAATTTTCTCTAATTAATTGATTCGAAGCAAATTAATCAACGTTCGATAAATAGATCATATTTTAACTTTATATTCGATTTGTAATTTCCACTATTTTACGACAACATGTAAGCGACACAGTACCATTTTTGGGCGCTGTGGGGGTGCTTACCCTTCCCCCACACGTAACCGACTCCCGAACCTGTTAAATTTGATTTCTGGTAAATGTAGACCATTTTTGTCTTAAAAAATGATTTTTCTTAAATTTCTTTTAAAAAGACGTTTTTAGGTATTCGACCTACCTAACCCAAAGGTCGATGGCGACTCTATTCAATTTAATCCAAATTAATCCAAAATACTCAATTTTTCAAAATAAAAGTCATAATCGTTTTTTAAAATAATATTTAATTGTTTTACAAAAAAAAAATGGTTATGACACTTATTATCTTTCAACTTACCACCGTTTGCTTCTGCAAATTTGGAGCTCTGGTATGGATGGGGCACCGAGCTTTTCTTCATTGTATTAATATCCCTCGATGGAGTAGCCTTGTTTCTTGACAAGGAGATGGTCTGCCATGCTTAGATATTTAAAGGCAGCAAAGTCAAATATTTTAATAGGCTAGCTGCGATTCCATTTTACAATGTTTGTTGCATCAGCACGCCATGTTGGAACTTTCAAATACAAGATGAAAGAGCATCTTTTTGAGTGGATACGCTAGGCTTCTATGGATTGCCTAACTTCATCAAAAATGTAATTTTATTTATCCAAAACTGGTTTATTTAAATAGTTTTATACATCTTCAAAATTAATTTTAAATAATTTTATATCCATACAATTATAATATTTAATATACTTTATATAATTCTCTTATATTCGTTAATGATATAATGAATTTTTTATTCGTATTTTTTTCATTTAATATTTTGTACTTAAATTGATATGTTTTGTTTAATAATTTTATTTGTTTATTTGATGTTATCTTTCCATTTTATCGTAACAATATATGTAAAAAAGTGAATAAAATGAGCTTTTGTAATCATCTAGCTGCTTAAGCCTTTGCCTTGTGTATGAAAATACTTAGGGGGTGTTTGGTTCAAGGATTGTGGGATTCCTATAGGATGGGAATCTCACATTCCCATGTTTGGTTGGCCGGGAATCTCATTCCCGGTAATGTTTTATTACCAATAGTAGATTTTTTGTGGTATATTACCGGGAATGCCATTACCTCCATTCCCTTAGGTATTGTAATATTACCGGCGTTTTGAACTAAAATGACCTTAAATTATTATTTTTTTTCAAAAATATCCTTCTTATGTCATTAAATAATAAAAATTCTACGAAGGTTAAATTACAAATTTATCCTTAAATTATTTTAGATTTACAAAAAAATCTATAATTAAAATTTTATATGAAGTTCAGGGGTTAAATTTTTTTTATCTTTTCATTAAACCTTTTTTATATTTTTAATTTTGTAAAAAAATTATATAAATATTATGAATTTAAATTTTTAAAGAAAATATATAAATATTTTACAATTTGTAATATTATACAAATATATAATAAGGAAAATTTGATCAAATATACATTCCAATAATCTTTTATTCCTTTAACTAAACACAGTAATCTTACATTCCTGCTAAACCAACCAAACACAAAATACAACATTCCTAGTAATCCTATTCCCTGATAATCTTATCCAAAAATTGTTGTTTAATTTCCAAGAATCGTGATTATTAAAAGTGTTGAGGCCATCTTGATAATATTGTACGTATGAGTTTAAATTATGAGGTAAGGGACAAGTTGTAACCCATATGGGTGCCCTAAACGCCAGGGTATGGCTGAATAATAGGGTTTGCCCATGTTATGAAATTGATATAAGAGCGTTTTGATATTATTTTATTCCATATAATATGGTCTTCTTGCTCAACCATCACCTGTCATTCCATTTTCCAACACAAACCCTAGTCTAATAAATTCATCGACAAAACCCAGTTTCTGTATTATTGCTTCCGCAAACGACTATTTCAGGCGAAGTTGTACAGAGTGAGTCACCTTAATATAAAGTTAAAATAAAGTATTATTAGTTTTGTTATTATTTAAATAATAAAATTGATAAAAAAATTATCTAAAATATTATTATTTTTATCTAAAACATTAATTTTTTAATATTTCTGATAAAAGTGTCCAATAATAACAAAACTGATAAAAGTAATAATGTTTTCGGTAATTTTTTATCGGTTTTATTATTTAAATAATAACAAAACCAATAACACATTTTTTAGCCGTATATTAAGACTTTCGCACGTGAACATTTTCACTATTACACATGATTAAAAACTGTGTTCATATCTAGTTTAAGAGTAAAAAAGCTTAGTCTACCTGTATTTTTAATTCTTTCATTAATAATATATTTTTATTCCTTTAAAAATTTTATTTGCTTAATAAATTTTAGTCTAATAGTATTTTGGTTCATGTAGACATAAATATTTAAGTTAAAAAAATAATTTATTAAATATTTAATTAAGTAAGATGCGAACTAAAGAAGTATAATCTCATATGCTCTCAAACTTTTTGGTCTAATAACAATTTAGGTTATTGTAAGTTTAAATATCAAACAAATTAGGCATTGTCTTCTGAATTTTGAGTTTAAATACATAATAAACCATTATATTTTTCTTAAAATTATCAATATTTTGACATTTGTCAGTATTTATTTTTGGCTCTTTCTCTGTATATATATATAATAAAGTAAAAAATTTGGTGAACTTAACAAGTAAAGAGTTGAACAATAAATTTTTTCAACTAACACGAACAAATAAAATTTTATCGAATTTATCAAATATCGAATATCGAATCTAGCATGGATTGACCAATTTTCAAATCAAATCTATCACTGTTTAACTCGTGGTCGACGTTCAATAAACACTCCCGTAGTATATCAGATACCACGATTATGTAATCAATTATTAACCTTTCTGGTATAAATACACTTTAGGTCTCATCGATATAATGATGAATTGACTGAAACTTATTAACCAATGTCTTAAAAATAAGCTTGAATAGGATATCGCATATACTACCCGACGAGTAAAATTGAGCCATATTTATGGGATCAGAAACCTCTGGAATAAGAACAATATGAATGTGGTTGATGTCTGGTAAAGGGAATTTTATATTAAGCATCGTGATATAATTAACCACATCTATATGATGTGTTAGAGTCATTAATAAAACACATCTTCATATTTATTTTTCTTATAAATCATCATTCAATAACACGTTAGTATATTGATTCGGAAAGAAACGTAGTGAGATAAAAACATTATCTTGAATGGGTAAATTTTAGTGTAATAATTGTAATTTTATAGATTAGTTACTAAACCAAAAACACGGTTAAAATTTAGTGATTGATAGTGTGGTTTAGCCTTCATTTTTATAGAACTCCTGAATATATATTTCAGACAATGAGATTTTTAACCCAGTTATTTTATATTTTAGCCTTTAAACTTTAATTATATTCATTTTGACCCATAAAATTTCATTTGTATTAAGTTTAACCAAATATGATATACAACAATAATACTATTTTTTTCTTATTCAAATGTTGAGGTAAATTATTTGATTATTTTATTCCATATAATAAAAAATCCAAAATATTTAAAAATGTTTTAAAAAGAGATGACATTAGCATTTCAATAATGATATAGTAGTTATTTTTTTGAATTTTTGATGACTTAACAAAAAATGATAAAATATGGCAGTGTTTCAGTAATGACACAATATCATTATTGTTTAACCACATTTGAGTTAAATTGATAAAAAAATATAAATTTGAAGGTAAAATGGATCACAATAAAAGTTTAAGGACTAAAATGTCTAACCTAATAAAGTTGAGGGGTCTAGTTATTCTACCTATATTTTGTCTTTTCTTTTGCAACCAACGCTTAAGTGAAGCCCAAGCTCAAAGTTAGGCCTAATCGTAGAACCCAACAATAAAGCGCAAAATCTCAAAAAAAAAAAAATTAGTCAACTTGAAGAATCGTATACTATACTATAATTTAAATTTTATTTTAGAAATTTTCAAGTAAAATTAAATTTATGAAATTTGATTTAAATCAAGTTTTTAAATTTTATGTTTAAATTTAATTATAAATATTTTATAATATTGTCGTAACCGTCTTTCGGTTGGGCCCCGGAATTGGGTTTCGACTTGAATTGATTGTGTTAGAGTCGCCACCGACCACTTTGAAACGAATTTAGGTGGGTCGGACACCATCTTACCTGATCTGCGTCTTTCCAGAAACGTGTCGGGTTCGGGAGTCGGTTACGGTCAAGGAAGGATTAGCACCCTTGAACTGCCCTTTCGATACCAATTAATTTGTCGGTTGTCTTTGATTGCGAAAATTAAAAATTAAAATTAAAATTTAAAACATCGATTCAGATAATTACCTTTGATTGGTTGAAATTACTACTGGAAAATAAAAAAATGTTAGATGGTAAATAAAGAAAATATCAACTAAAAAATAAATAAATAATAATAATAAAAAATAAAAAAGGATGTTAAAAAATAAAAAATATGTTGAAAGTTTTTCATTTACAGTGTCAGCTTGGGCTCCAACCAAGAGGGTTTTCTTTCCCCATGAAACCAGAACGTGGCCTTTGCATGAAGGAATTTTAAGTGGAAGATTACTAGGTGACAAGTAAAGCTTTGATGATGCCATGGTCCAAGAAAAAGTATTGAAATTAAGAACCTGAACATCATCTAAAATTTCGTTCATAAATCCACCACCAACCACGATCATCTTGTTCCCAACAACGGTAGATGCATGATTAAAGCGTGGCACAGGTGCTTCCACGGCAACCGACAACACCATCCAATTCTCGGAGTTCCCTGATGAATTAATCTCCGGGGCAGCAACACAGTGGGATTCAAGTTCATCAGAATGACTACAAGCAGGCGTAGCAGATTCAATATTTGTATTGTTGCTTTGTTATTGCTCCCGTCGCTTCCATCGACCTCGACCATAACGGTGACCCCCATTTATAACACTTGGTGGGCAACTTCGAGTGATGAGCCGGAGCAAGGAATATGGGATTTTCGCCATCCTCAAAAATGATATATGCAAACAATTAACGAAACTGAACAAACGATCCGTAATGAAGAATATGAGAACAACACAAACAAACAATTTCGACGCTATTCCACTCTGCAGTTGAAGACCCAAGCTGCCCAGAAAATGATACAGTCATTCCCTTCAAGCACCAACATCTTTTGCTTCAGCATGTGCTCGTGGTCTTGACCTTGGGGACTCTCGGTGAGAAGCTGATCTGCATTGAACTGTGCAACCACGTCCTTCAAGACCTCCCTTCCAACAGCTCTTTGACCACCGTCAACGGTGTACGTGGAAGCGCCAAGGATACTGGCGGTCGCACCGAGACCGGAAGCGACGCGTGCGAGGTTGGTCAAAAGAGAGACAGCGGCTTGGTTGCTTCCCCTTTGTCTCTATCTCTTGCTTGCTTTTCAGCTGGATTTTTACGCCTATCGAGCCATTTTTTTTCTCCCCCTCCAATCTAAAGTTGCCTTAAATAAATAGGCAGGCCCCCTGATAAAGATTCTCACTCTCATGTTTAAGAGAAAATTAAGAAAACTGTTGAAGAGACGTGCGAGAGTGGTGATAATGGGGTTAATGGGATAATGGGGGTTGTTACACACGGGCCTGAAAAAAAATTAAAATATTAATAATAATAATAATAATAATAAATACATATCTTTTTAAAACCCGGACAAAAGCGGGTGTCTACAGCTGCCCCTCTTTGCACATTCTTGTGTTAACAAGGATAAGGCAAAGACTAAAAAGACAACAAGTTTTTGTTCGATCCTCTCAAATGTGATTGGGCTTCCTGGAATTGGGTCTTTGTCTTCTTCTCGGTTTAAAGATTTCGGCTTGAAAATTCTTCCAGAAAGTAGTTCCTCACTGTTATCGAGCTGAATGAAATCAAACTCGTCAGTTTTTGTTGACAGATAGCCCTTCTCGCCTTGAGTTATGCTGTAAATTCGATTTGCCTCTGAGTTGAATGTAATCGAACTCGAAGGTATTTGGTTGGCAGATAGCCCTTCTCGACTTAAGCTATGCTGCAAATGATGGTGCCTTTGAGCTGAGTGTAATCGAACTCGAAGGTCTTTTGGTGAGTGGCCTCTGAATCGTCTTCTGGCTCAAGATACTTCACCGTGAAGGTGAAACTTGACCTGAAGAATTTGGTGTTGTAGTGCTATAGATGACTCATTCTTCGTGAAGTTGGGTCAATCTGTTAGGGTATGATACCATTCGTTGTGAAGTTGTGTATGACATATGGCCCCTTCATCGTGAAGTTTGAAATCCAATGCAAGTTGCGTTGTTTTGAGGCCAATATTCTTTGCCGTGAAGTTGAAATTGACTCTAAAACTGGAAAGTTTATTGGCATACACTCCTTCTTTGAATTGAATATCCTTCGTCGTGAAGTTGAAATCCAATCTAAAAATGGATGTTGCTTTTGTGCACGATTCCCTTCGTCGTGCAGTTGAAATCGCGGGTGGCCCCTTCGTCGTGAAGTTGAGCCTATAATTGGATATCCTTCGTCGTGAAGTTGAAATCCAAGTAAGTTGTATTGTTCCAAGTCCAATATCCTCCACCGTGAAGTTGAAATTGTCTCTGGAACTGGGAAATTGTTTGTTGACAACCAGCCGCCCCTTCGTTGTGAAGTTGAACTTGTGTTGCCTCGAGTCCAATATCCTTCGCTGTGAAGTTGAAATTGGCTCTGAGATTGGGAAATTGTTGTTGACAACCAGCGGTCCCTTCGTCGTGAAGTTGAACTTGCGTTGTATGGAGTCCAATATCCTTCGCTGTGAAGTTGAAATTGACTCTGAAATTGGGAAATTGTTTATTGACAACCAGCGGTCCCTTCGTCGTGAAGTTGAACTTGCGTTGTCTGGAGTCCAATATCTTTCGCTGTGAAGTTGAAATTAGCTCTGAAATTGGGAAGTTGTTGTTGACAACCAGCGGTCCCTTCGTCGTGAAGTTGAACTTGCGTTGTCTGGAGTCCAATATTCTTCGTTGTGAAGTTGAAATTGGCTCTGAAATTGGGAAGTTGTTGTTGACAACCAGCGGTCCCTTCGTCGTGAAGTTGAACTTGCGTTGTCTGGAGTCCAATATCCTTCGCTGTGAAGTTGAAATTGGCTCTGAAATTGGGAAGTTGTTGTTGACAACTAGTGGTCCCTTCGTCGTGAAGTTGAACTTGCGTTGTCTGGAGTCCAATATCCTTCGCTGTGAAGTTGAAATTGGCTCTGAAATTGGGAAGTTGTTGTTGACAACCAGCGGTCCCTTCGTCGTGAAGTTGAACTTGCGTTGTCTGGAGTTCAATATCCTCCGTCGTGAAGTTGAAAGTTATTTATTGACAACCAGCGGTCCCTTCGTCGTGAAGTTGAACTTGCATTGTCTGGAGTCCAATATCTTTCGCTGTGAAGTTGAAATTGGCTCTGAAATTGGGAAGTTGTTTAATGACAACCAGCGGTCCCTTCGTCGTGAAGTTGAACTTGCGTTGTCTGGAGTCCAATATCCTTCGTTGTGAAGTTGAAATCTACTCTCGAGCTAATTGTGTCGTTTCGAGAGAAACTTTCAATCTGTCGAGTTGGTCGAAGTGTAGCTTCTTGCTGCTGAGTTAAGCAACAAACATGAATCTTTAAAGGTGCTTTTGAATCGAGTATCCTTCGTCTTGAAGTCGAAACTTAACTCTAAAAGCTGCAAAAAATTATGTATGTGGAAAATGATAAATATGATGCTCTAAAATGTATGCATAAGATGCATGTAACATGAATTGGTTATATTTTATCTCCTGAAAAAGGTCTGATAATTTTCATTAGGATGTTGAATCCCCAAATGATGCCCCAATATCCAAAAATGCCCCAATATTTGATGTTGAATCTTCACAGATGCCCCAAATGTTCCTCATTTCTTGCTTCAGCATTGATTCTGAGCATTAGTTTTGTGTCTAAAAGTCACATGTCATTTACCAAGATCCATTCTAGAGAGACTGTCTTGTTTGAAAAAAATATTTTTCTTCTTTTTCTTGTTTTAGGAGAGAGACATGATAAAAATGTTGTAAAATATTGTTCGCAATTGAATCAAATTGTAAATGTGAGTTCAAAAAATATCAAAGGAATCAAGAGCTCTTTTAATGCTTTCAGAGTTACAAATCTTTGAAAAATGTTCAAATGGATGAGTTGGCTTTAGGTTAGCCTCCTTTCTAAGGTTTTGGTAACCCAAAATGTCATTTTTTTTAAATATCGAAATATGCTTTGGCATTTCATTTGGGTGCGGACATAATGACGCAACTAGAATGACCAATTACTAGACATTTTATTTCGGTCCTCTGAAATCTTCCATTTGTTCAAGCTTTGTAGGCTCCTCCAACAAAGGCAGTGTGAAAAAATATCGGTCTAAAAATGAAATTCTTGAGTGCTCGTGTGTAGTCGACTATAACAGGTGTTCCTTAACTCCCTTAGTCCAACATTACCGAAAATTTCTTGCTCAGATAAATTTGATTTAATTTTCCATTGTCTGGCTAGCTGAATCCATAAAGTCGGGGCGTTTAACCAATTACTTTAGAGGGACAGCTTAACATTATAATCACTTTTATCAGGTTTAACTGAAGGGTAATCTCATCACAAAGTCTTCGGCCTGACAAAAGCAGTGGAGCAAACACCGAATTGCCAAGTGTCCGAGCAATGTCATGGTTTGAATACAATCTATTCATAAAGCCAGGGCTTTCGAGTTTCCTCTGTAACCAATTGCCTTAGTGGAATAGCTCAGTTTTACGGATTTAATTTCTTAAGATTGTCAAGAAGAACCTGTTATAGTCTAGGTGTTTGTTGAAAGTAAAACATTTCATCTTTAGAGTTCAATTTTCAAGCAACTGACCTAAACTAGATTCACTTACTCGACTATTCCATCTGTGAAGATCATTATCATCACTGAACATCTTAAATAAAAAGTATAATAATGTCATATGCAAAAGGATGCCCCATGTTGTCCGCACCTTATGAAAGGAAAATGTTATATTGGTTAATTACAAGAGCAGGGTACGATGTTTGAGTGTATATTCTGGGTAAAGTCAAATTCCTTGTTTTAAATCATGTTACTTCGTCAAAGATATGTAACTTTGAACCATTTCAGAGTTTCTTAATTCATTTGATATTCAAAGAATTGCAAGTTTGCAAATGTGATTCATTGTTTAACATCTTTAAAGTAACATAAATTTATTTAAAAGTCCTTACAAAAACTTGAGAAAAAAATGAAAAAACAAATTCAAACAAAATGTCTCAAATGATGAAATGGTCTTCCTCACTTGGATGCCCCCAAGTTGTTGAAGTCAACTTGATTCTTGTTACGTATTTTATGTATGATTCTCTTGATTGTGGAGTAATTCTCGATAGTGCGCCCTGGGACTCCACTATGATTTTCGCAATGAGCGTTCTCATCATACTACCTGGGGTACGGGGCTTCATGGAATTCTCTGGATATGGTGACACCACGTGTGCGCGAAACAACTGTTGGTAAAGCTCCTTATATGTCATAGGATCAAAATGTTCTCATTTTTGATGAGACATGTGAATGTAAAAAAAGGAAAAATAATGCGAATGTAAAGAAAAATAACAAAATGCACAATATGTCTGAATGCATGATGCATGAAATGTTCGAGGCATTGATCCAAAAAATGTACATGTTATTATAAATAATCCTTATTGGGGCAAAAGTGTTACGTCTTAAGAGACAAAAATATTTTGAAGGCATAGACCCCGAACAACTTCTGATAGGTTGACTAGTCTTCTGCCTTCGTCTGTCACCGGTTGAATACCCTGTCAAACCGTTCCGGCTCCTTTGGCTAAAATGTGCAAATAACGAGCTGCTTGCCCCCAAAAGGTCTCGAAGGACTGCATCGCCGTCTTTCACTCTATGTCGAGCTTGTTCCAAACGAAAGTGCCATCGGAGCCCTCCACCCAAAGTTTATCGACTTGTTTCTAGAATTTATCAATAATGATCTCCAGCTTAGCTAGGGTTTCGCCATCTTGATCTCGCAGTTTTCGAAAGGACTCTTCGGGTCAGTAACATTTTCCTCGTCTTGCCCCTGCACCCCTTGCCTCCGAGTATTCTTTGACCACGGCTGGGCTTCTGAGCTTTTTATCTCTTTGTATTATAATCACTTTGTCCATTAATGCAGATTATTCATGTTTAACAAACACATTTTTTTTGGATCAACACCTCGTTTTAAATGATGTGAATGATGAAAACAAAATGAAATAGAACAAAAATTAAAAGGGGTTAGTGATGTAAATCAAAATAAAAAAAATAAAAAATCCTACCCCACATGATAATCTACCCGAACATGCTTAATATTCCTACACAGACATGATTTCTATCCCGCATGCTAATTTCAAACAAATCCTAGCCGCATATTTGTCTAGTTCGCATGCTTTGAACATAAAATAAAGCAGGAAACAAAGCATCCTAGGGTTTGGAATGATGTCTTGGGGTGAGCTCTAATTCCCTACACTCTCCCGGTTTAGGTTCTAAAAAGGTACTCGAGTTCTCCTTGCCGGTGCCCCCTTGGGCTTGCCTGACCCTTAGTCCTAAGCATATTACAAGCTTGTGTGGAATAAGTTAAACTCGAGAGGACATATTCTCTTATGCCCGCACGGTGAATAAATTCACACGAAGACATAAGGTATATGAATCCCGAAGGCTACTTGCTAGGCATATGCGGTGAATAAATTCACACGAATGCGTTGCTTTCACCCACACTTAAAACGGGTTCGGAGCTCGGGTTTAGAGCTTAGAGATGACAATTTTGAAAAAAATCTGAAATCATTAAAAAACATCAGTACAACTATTTATTTGAAACAAAATAATCAAAGATAAATAATTGGAATCGAATAAATAAATTAAAATTTAACATTTTCGCATAAAAGACAACCAAAAATTAATTTCAGCCTGACTCACTTACCTGTTCCCAGTGGAGTCGCCAAGCTGTCATAACAGTCTTTCGGTTGGTCCCCAAAATTGGGCTTCGACTTGAATTGATTGGGTTAGAGTAGCCACCGACCACTTTGAAACGAATTTAGGTGGGTCGGACACCATCTTACCTGATCTGCGTCTTGCCAGAAATGTGTCGGGTTCAGGAGTCGGTTACGGTCAAGGAAGGATTAGCACCCTTGAACTGCCCTTTCGGTACCAATTAATTTGTCGGTTGTCTTTGATTGCGAAAATTAAAAATTAAAATTAAAATTTAAAACATCGATTCAGATAATTACCTTTGATTGGTTGAAATTACTACTGGAAAATAAAAAAATGTTAGATGGTAAATAAAGAAAATATCAACTAAAAAATAAATAAATAATAATAATAAAAAATAAAAAAGGATGTTAAAAAATAAAAAATATGTTGAAAGTTTTTCATTTACAGTGTTAGCTTGGGCTCCAACCAAGAGGGTTTTCTTTCCCCATGAAACCAGAACGTGGCCTTTGCATGAAGGAATTTTAAGTGGAAGATTACTAGGTGACAAGTAAAGCTTTGATGATGTCATGGTCCAAGAAAAAGTATTGAAATTAAGAACCTGCACATCATCTAAAATTTCGTTCACAAATCCACCACCAACCACGATCATCTTGTTCCCAACAACGGTAGATGCATGATTAAAGCGTGGCACAGGTGCTTCCACGGCAACCGACAACACCATCCAATTCTCGGAGTTCCCTGATGAATTAATCTCCGGGGCAGCAACACAGTGGGATTCAAGTTAATCAGAATGACTACCAGCAGGCGTAGCAGATTCAATATTTGTATTGTTGCTTTGTTATTGCTCCCGTCGCTTCCATCGACCTCGACCATAACGGTGACCCTCGTTTATAACACTTGGTGGGCAACTTCGAGTGATGAGCCGGAGCAAGGAATATGGGATTTTCACCATCCTCAAAAATGATATATGCAAACAATTAACGAAACTGAACAAACGATCCGTAATGAAGAATATGAGAACAACACAAACAAACAATTTCGACGCTATTCCACTCTGCAGTTGAAGACCCAAGCTGCCCAGAAAATGATACAGTCCTTCCCTTCAAGCACCAATATCTTTTGCTTCAGCATGTGCTCGTGGTCTTGACCTTGGGGACTCTCGGTGAGAAGCTGATCTGCATTGAACTGTGCAACCACGTCCTTCAAGACCTCCCTTCCAACATCTCTTTGACCACCGTCAACGGTGTACGTGGAAGCGCTAAGGATACTGGCGGCCGCACCGAGACCGGAAGCGACGCGTACGAGGTTGGTCAAAAGAGAGACAGCGGCTTGGTTGCTTCCCCTTTGTCTCTATCTCTTGCTTACTTTTCAGCTGGGTTTTTACGCCTATCGAGCCATTTTTTTTTTCTCCCCCTCCAATCTAAAGTTGCCTTAAATAAATAGGCAGGCCCCCTGATAAAGATTCTCACTCTCATGTTTGAGAGAAAATTAAGAAAACTGTTGAAGAGACGTGCGAGAGTGGTGATAATGGGGTTAATGGGATAGTGGGGGTTGTTACACACGGGCCTGAAAAAAATTAAAATAATAATAATAATAATAATAATAATAAATACATATATTTTTAAAACCTGGACAAAAGCGGGTGTCTACAAATATTATGGTATTATTTGATTTTAATTTAAATGACTTTATATAATCATATATAATATACATATATATTTCTTCATATATAAAAGGACTCGTCTTGAACTTAAAAATGTACTTATTATTAAAAAAATTGAGTTATTTAATTCTTATTTTATAACTCAAATTTTATTTAAAATTTTTTCGAATAGAATGAAATTCTTTTACATCTAATAAAAGTAAAAAAGTTTTAATATTTATAAATTAAGTCGAATTTTAGTCCCCCTACAGCCACTGCTCACCATGGAAGTCTTTCACAGACTCTCATTTCGTCTCTTACCACCGGTCACTTGCAGCTTCAACTCCGCCATATATTTCCGCCCGTTTCCAGACCCTCGTTTGCAAACCCCTGCCCACTCTTCACCCCCCGAAGACCTCTCTCTTCCTCAGCTGTCAGCAAAGCGGGTTGGTTTATAGGTATTGGAGATGAGAAGAAAACGAGACAAGTGGGTGACCCGTTTTGCATGAGTCCAGTGGTAGAAGTGCATCCGCTTTAAAATCTAAATATACTTCGATTAATGATTTATTTTATGTTCATTTTATTTTATGTTCATTCTGAAATTGTATTTATACGAATCTCATATAAAAATTTTATGCGATCAATATGTATGTCATTGAATGAATCTCTCGTTAAAGTTGGCCTGATGAAAAAGAGTCGGAACGGATACAAAAGATAATTGATTATATCGATATGGTTCGGGTTATGAGGATGGAATCCCCTCGAGATTTTTTTCTTCTTCAAAACTTCCCTTTTTGTTTGGTTTTTTTTATTAGTATTGTTGTTATTATTTTTAACAAAATATATGTATGACTTTTTTGCTTAGAATGTTTAAGCTCTGCTTTTATTTATAGATATTTTTTGGTTTAAAATTTTATTATATATTTGCATCTAATAGTTTTGGAGGATACATCCGAATATATTTATTATGAGTACAAGGAGAAGACTAAAGTGCAGGATAGACGTTCTTTCAATCTTCTGATATGTTAATTTAAAGTTACTCTTTACTAGCGATATAGATTGGTTCAAGTAATAAGTATCTTGATATCGTTTGAGTAAAGTTTCGAGTTCGAGTATTTGTGTATACAGAAAATCCATGTTGAGAGACTCACCCACCAAAACCAAGTGTGCGATGCAAGTTAATTCAGATTACTCAAGATAATCTTGAAATCAAGAAGGCAACCAAAAAAAATTGCTCTTTAGTGACCTGCATTCCACCTCACTAGAATTCATGATATAAAACCTTCCATAAACATTGATGGTTAGAGACAACAAACCTTAATCTGAATCCCCTTCCTAACAGGTGGAGATTCTGTTGAATTAAAAGGAAATTAAGGGACTGTTTACTTACTTCAGAATGATTAAGCGTTGAATAATTCAAATATTGAATGATTCAGATGCTCTGTATAAATTAACTCTGAATGTGGCATGTTTATTGACAATGACTCTGAATCATTCAAAATGTACTCCTATGCTGAATCAGTCAACATTATTTTGCTGAATCAGTCAATACTGAATCATTTAGAGGTAAGAAACAAACGCGTTGAATACTGAACGGTTCAACATTCAGCGTTGAATGGTTCGATTCAGAGTCAAACAAACAGCCCCTAAACCAACTAAGAAGTAACTTTCATGAATCGACATACTCCCACTGTTTGATGATCCCTACATTTCCTGAAAACTTTCTGCCAATAACATAACAGGAGATATTCCCTTTGCAAACTCAACTTTTATTTTTTTTGCACAAATTCAGACATCCCAGAAATCTGAAACCCTGTTTTTAGTACTACTATGTCTCACCATCGGCATAGAGAATAACAAAAGAAAACTTCTAATTCTGGTGTTTGAACAAAGATTTTGTACATGTGAAATTTGTCTCAATAAACATCCAAATAAAACATTTATACAGATTAATTCAATTTACATATCCACCCAATTAACAAAATAAAAAACATTAATAAAATGAGGGGGGGGGGGGAATCAAAACTTTAAACACCCAACAATCTTCTCTGTTCTGTTCATATAGATGGACTTCAATTTAAGCTTAAATCCCTCTATAACAACCTAAGCATACATAAATCGATATACCCAGAACTACCCATCAAGTTCGCCGGAATCTCCAACTCCGGTTACCGGAAATACAATTAAAAAAAATAATAGAGTAAAACGCCTATCTCGATCTACGCTTACCATGCTTTTTCCTACGATTATTCGTGGCTTGTTTCCCGAAAGCACTGCAAAACCCACAAGTTGAAACCTTTGGAGAAGGCGGGTCAATGGCAGGGGACACCTTACCGGTTCGGTAACCGCGTCTTTCACCACCGTTAGATCGGCTTCTTTCGACGGTAGTGTTGATGGGCGGAATTGTCGGCTTAACTTCCTTAATAACATCAACTTTTTCTGGGTTGTTACTGTTGTCTCGCACCTGTCCTTGTTCTTCTGGCTTGGTCTCTCCTCCTCCTTGTTGTTCTGGTTTTATTTGACTTAACTCCGACAAAAACTTGTCGTCCCAAACAATCCCCGAAGAACCTTGCCTCCTAAAAGACACTGCAGATCTTTGAAGACCAGCCATGGTAGACAGAAGCTCTCACTGGATCTTTAATGAAGCTAAAACCAATGTTTTCCTCTTCTTCAATTTGTTGTAAATAACTCTTTCTATATATAGGGGGGGCATAGGTCGGGTTTCTGCCAAACCGACCCGACCCAACTCGAAAATTTTATATCATTCATCTGATATGACTCGAAAAATATATATCATTCATCTGACTTTCATCTTACTTGATTTTTTGTGATAAAATATAAATCCGACCCGAAATAAAAAAATATTTTTATTTAATTAAAATAGTGATTTAATTGAAAAAAATAATATATAGATATATATTATTGTAATTATTTCGAGATATATAAGATAAAATTATATTTTTTAGGTCAGATTTGATATTTTTAACCCTAAACCCGAAATCGATTCGACTCAAAAATCACCTTTAAAAAACTCGACCGACTTGACCCGAACCTATTTTTTTTTTAAATTCGACTCAATCAGATCGTGTCGGATTCGGGTCTCATACCTATCCCTATATATATGTGTGGATATAGGAAGAGAGAAATTTTGAAGATTTGGTTAAGGTGAAAAAAAGTCATAATAAGGCAACTCGGTCAATATTTCCATTTTTCATAAATACTTATTTCTTTGTTGTCGAATCTTAACGTTAAAGACTGAAGGGGGGCTGTTAATTATGGATTAAAAATATTCTAATACTTATCTCTTTTAATTTTAAGATTACATTTAATGTATAAATAGTATTATTTTCATATATCATTGATGGTTCATCCATTAAAATTTATGCGAGATAACGCAATTGATAGAAATTCGACCATAAATTAATATTTCTATGTGAGAGAAACAAGAGTTTCGATGGGAAAATAAAAATAATAAAGGAGGATTGAAGAACCCCTTCATCAAGTTTGTCTAATGGGGTGTTATATCGACCTTTTAATATATAATTAGGTCTAAGATCATTATTTCTATTAATAGATTCTACATATACGATTGTCAATTATTAGATTAATTCTATCAAAGATTACGTCAAATATTGAGGAATATAGACTCCAAAGAGTAATTCCAACCTAAAATAGTATGAAAATTTTTGAATGATTATGAAAGCTTTGCTTAAAAGGTAGAGTCTTCTGGAAATCTTTATATACTGAGATTTAATAGGTTGTAGAGAACTCTTCGAAAGTATAACATAGATTAAATTATCCATTGTAAACTCATATTTTAAGAACCATAAATTAAAATAATACAAATGAATGTAATGAAAAAAAAAACGAAGAACTAAAAGGTTAGGTAGTAGAATTGAATTCAGATTTTCTAACTTAAACGTTTCAAGTTTAGGTTTTGCAACTTTGAGTTTAACTTTTTATTTCATTATAAAATTTAAAATTAAACGTTACTTATTTAAGATAATTTTTAAAATGGGTACATTTTATAATAAATATTTATCGTGATTAATACAAGATGATTATAATGTAATGTATGCTCAGAACTTAATTTATTGATAATACACATACACCCTACAAATGTAACTGTTTGAATTTAGAATATTTATATAGACTAATATTCTCTTTTAATGTTGAGGTCAAATAATAAGTTATATAATATAAATATTTTAAAAAGTATCTTTTAAAGTGAGTTTGGATATTTATAAAATCAAAAGAGATCAACTACTGGAGTGATGAACCAACAATCAGTTGGTCTAATAGGACGATATACTAAATTTCTTAACCAGCCTCAAGATTCCTAAATAAGGTCAGGGGTTCGAATCTTAATGTTCGTGAATAGAACAAACTAGATTGAAAGGACCGCCCTTGCCTTTGTAATACTCGATCTGGATTAATATATATATATATATATGAAGACACTGAATTTCGTCCATTGTTATTATAATATATATATATATATTATTTTATTTATTTACAAACTATATTATATATATATATATATATATATTTACTTATTTGGGTTCTATTACATGATACAGGCTCAGGGAACTACAAGCCCAACAGAATACAACACGCAAGCTGGCCCAACAAACAAGTGACCCAACCCGAGTCACATAGGGTTTCCAGAAACCCTAGCAGTTTCCCCATCCACAGCGCCACAAGCATCTTGGTCAGCCTCCGGTTTTCACGGCCACACACCAACCACTCCGAACCGTTCGCCGCAAGGATCTCACAAGGACCATAATCAATGCCACGCAACACAACAGAAGCAGCAAAGGAGTATTAGAAGTCTAAATCAAATAGGACTCTCCTAAAAATAGGATTCGTTTCGCATTATAAATAAATGTAAACTCAAACATTTGTAACTCATTCGGATTATACAAAATACAAGTAAACTTTTGCACAATTATTTTCGAGTAGTACATTCATCAACCACAATTTTTTTTACAAAATATGAGCAGTGATATTCGAAGCATTTTGCGATCTTTAGAGAAGAAACAGAAGGTAAAAAGGCTCACATTTCATTCTTTCAGTTTGCATGTTATCTCTCTCGGATTTAAAACACTAAAAGCCGATGACCGGAGTGGGGGTATACAAAAATTTCTTTTTTAGATCTACACCCCTACTAGGCATTTTTTTAAACCAAAGTGATTTTCGAAACGAGAGTAAAACGGGCTTTCAAATGATGGAAAATTTTTAGGTTTTGCCACTGATCAACGGCGGCGGCGAGACGGCGCAGGGAGGTTGGATTCTGGAAATACCAGCCCGTGTTCTTCGTAGCGAAGAACATTTCAGAGAAATGTTTAAAGGGGAGGGGGTATCTGGTTTTGAAATGAGATAAGTGAAGAAGTTTAATTTTTTTTAGCTTTTATATCAAACCCGAACTGATCCAATTGACCCGCGCGTCGACCCGGTGGGTCATTTGACCGTCGTGTTTATGCATGGTAAAGGGTAAAAATACACATTTGGTCCTTCGTACTCTAAAATCCTTAATTTGACCCCTCTTTCGGTCCAAGATCCGAATTTAATCTTAAATTGACCATTGAATTTATATTTTCTTTCGATATAATCCTTTTTATTATTATTTTTGAATACTTATTATTACTATTATTTTTTATATCTTGTTTATAAGTTATTATATATATATGGATATGATTATTATTATTAGTATTTTTATTATTAACGTGTATATATATATATATATATATTTCGTTTATTATTATTATTATTATATGTATATTCTTTTTATTTATTTCATTTACTTTATTTCTTTTTGTGATTACTTTTCTCCCTTTGTTATTTATTTATTTAATTAATATATGTTTTAATTTTATTTCTTTGTTTTTATATAATTTTCATTTCTTTGTTCTTATGTTTGTTTTTTTCTTTATTTAATATTTATGTATATATATATTTTTTATTTATTAATTTATTTAGTATATGTTTTATTTTTTTTATTTTTTTTCCTTTATTTTTTTCCTTTATTTATCCTATTTATCTTTAGTTTATTTTTGTTGTCTCTTCTTATTTGTATAATTGGTTCTGTAGTTGTTTTTTTTTTATTTCTTTTCATCACTCCAAATCTAATGTTTTCTTCTTAAAGGTCTTCATTCAAATTTATCAAAGGTAAGTAATTTTGGATCAATTTTTACCTTTTTAATTAAACTTTCAATTTTCTTAAATCAAGACAACTGGAAATTACATAGCTCCGAAAGGGCAGTTCAAGGGTGCTAACCTTTTCTTGACTGTAACTGACTCCCGAACCTGACACATCTCTGGTAAAATTCAGATCAGGTAAGAAAAAAGGTATCCGCTCAACCCATTTAATTTTAAATAAATGATCGGTAACGACTCCTAATCAATTTTCTTAAAGTCGAAGCTCAATTCCGGGCCTACCTGAAAGGCGGTTTCGACAGCTTGGCGACTCAGCTGGGGACAAGTAAGTGAGTCAGGCTAAGGTAATTTCCAGTTGTCTTTTTAACGAAAAAGCTAAGTTTAAATTTTAATGTAACATTTCGATTCTTATTGCTTACTCTTGATTATATTTTCAAGTAAATAGTTGTACTAATCGTTTTCTAATGATGTCATCATTCAAAGCTTGTTTTTCACTTAAGGCTCTAAACCCGAGCTTTTGAACCTATTTAAGTGGGGTGAAAGCGACACATTCGTGTGAATTTATTCACCGTACAGGCCTAGCAAGTAGTATTCGGGATTCATATACCTTTTGTCTTTGTGTGAATTTATTCACCGCATAGACATAAGGGAATGTGTCATCTCGAGTTTAACTTAGTCCATACAAGCCTGTGATGGGTTTAGGACTAAGGGCTGGTAAGCCCATGGGGCCGCCGACAAGGAGAACTCGGATACCATTTTTAGAACCTAAACCGGGAGACTATGAAGAATTAGAGCCTACCCCGAAACCACATTCCAAAACCTAGGATATTTTTACCCTAACCTTGCTATTTGTTTATCTTTCTACTTTTCGTTTTTTTCTTTCATCATTTATTTATTTTATTTTATCATTTTTTATTTTACTAACTTTTTGCCTTTGTGTTTGTTTTTTTAGCATTTTTCATCATAATAAGAGGCCATTGATCCCTAAAAAGGTGTTTATTACACACAAAATAATCTGAATTAATGGATAAAGGTGTTTTAATACAAGAGATAAAAAACCTCGAGGTACGACTATGGTCCGAGAAGACTCAGAAGGAAAAAGGAGACAGTCTTCAAGGAAGCTATGTGTCAGAGCTGGTTAGCTACGCCTCTATCAGCTTAAAGCAGAACGATGTGCAAGAGCTTCGAGACATATGGGACAGTTGGAAGAATGATAAGAAACAGAAGTTCAACCAGCGGTACGGTGACATTGCACTTTTGCTTCATGTTAAGACTGATGAGCCCTTAATCAGATCCTTGGTTCAATTATGGAACCCGGGATATAGTTGCTTCACTTTTAACAGGGAGGACATGGTGCCCACCATCAAGGAGTACACTAAACTGCTGCACTGTGAAAACACCAAACTAGAGCGAGCTTATATTAAACACATTAAAAGTTAGCCTTTCAAGAATACACTGGCTAAGGTTGCCGGGGTTGACAAAAAATGGGTAACTGATCTAGA